TGGATGATGAATATGGAGGGGAAGGAACCTCAAGGCCAGCAACTGGCACAAGATCACAAGCCAATACCGAGTCCTTTTTGCTGAAGGACCTTTGTGGCCTAAGAAAGGATTACACTCAACCTGATGAATCTATAATTAGTTGGTTAGTAAGTCTTTGGGATGCTGCAGGCCAGGCTACAATTCTGGACGGTGCTGAAGCGAGGCATTTGGGATCCCTGTCACATGGTCCTGTCATCGACCAGGGCCCTGGCCTATGCTTATTGCATGCAGATAAGATAGATAGATACTGTCGGGCAGCAGACAGAGGCAGGGGCAGGGAGATAAATCAGCAGCTACCCCAGTGACTCAGGCTGTAGCTAAACCAGACAGTGAGCCTAAACCCACAGCTAAACCAGACTGTGAGCCTAAACCCACAGCTAAACCAGACTGTGAACCTCTACCAAGGGCTGTTGCTCCTACCACGAGAGGCATGAAACACAAAACCAAAACCAGTCTCCCAGTGGATGATGAATATGGAGGGGAAGGAACCTCAAGGCCAGCAACTGGCACAAGATCACAAGCCAATACCGAGTCCTTTTTGCTGAAGGACCTTTGTGGCCTAAGAAAGGATTACACTCAACCTGATGAATCTATAATTAGTTGGTTAGTAAGTCTTTGGGATGCTGCAGGCCAGGCTACAATTCTGGACGGTGCTGAAGCGAGGCATTTGGGATCCCTGTCACATGGTCCTGTCATCGACCAAGGCATGATGAGAGGGGCTAACCCTCACAGCCTCAGGGCACAGATCTTTGGAAGTGTGTCACAAAGATACCTGTGTGCATGTGCTCTCCATGTGCAGCAAACCCATTGGAAGACCATGGAGCAAGAGATCCAACGCTTGAGGGAAATGGCAGTGGCAGAGATTATCTTCTCAGATGACATAACAGCTAGGAATCCAGACTTTGTGCCATGCACATCCGTGATGTGGTGAAAAACTTGTACGACTTGGGCCACAAGAATATGCTTCTGCTTTAGCCATAATGAAGTGGGATGACAGGGATGAGACCGTGCTTGACATGGCAAGGAAGCTCCGAGCTGATGCAGATGCTGTGCATGGCCCAACACATGCCAGAATCGCAACGGTGGAAACACGTCTGCAGAGATTAGAGCATAAAATAGAGGAGAATCATAAGAAGCTCAGAGAGGAGATTAAGGAAGACCTTCTCCAAATCTTGGCAGTACAGATCAGAGGTTCTGGTACCCAAGGCAGACGTTCCCCAGATGGAGAGAGAAGGTACACCCCACGAGCTGAGCTGTGGTTCTTCCTGCATGATTGTGGAGAAAACATGAGGCAATGGGATGGAAAATCCACTGTTGCTCTGGCCCGACAGGTGCGTGAATTGAAGGAAGACAGGGCTCAGAGAGGACGTTCCACCACAAGGAAAGCAGCTCCAGTTGCCCATAGCAGCCAAACTGCCAGGTATGATGATGATGATGACGTGTCCGATCCCCTTGAAGGAACCTCCAAGACATGTCCAAGGAAAGAAGGACAACCAGGATTAGAGGGGCCCTGCCTCTAGCCAGGTAGAGGCACAGGAAAACCGTGTTTTCTGGACTGTGTGGATTCATTGGCCTGGCACATGAGAACCACAAAAATACGAGGCTTTGGTCGACACCAGTGGGCAGTGCACATTAATCCCATCAAGACACGTGGGGACAGAACCTGTTTCTATTGCTGGTGTGACAGGGGGATCACAGGATTTCACTTTGGGGAACTTCCTCTCTTCCTTCCAAAAGCGGTTGCTAATGCCACTGTTATGTTTTATAACTATTTTTAGTTATAAAACTATTTTTATCATTTTTTATTAACAAAGTATTTTTATGGGTTTTTTTAACAAACACAATATCCCACTAATGCTTCAGAGCTAGCACTGAAGCTTCAGCTTCAGTTCCCCAAAATTAGGTTAGCCAAACTTGTTTTGGTAAAAAGAACAGTGCTTCATACTCAAGTAAAACACTGTGGGCGGAGTGTAGTGAATCCTGTATTTCACAATATTTTAACTCAATACCCAGCTGCAGTAAAATTTCAGCTTGCAATGCTAAAAAACCCAAACCACAATGAAGTGTGACAAGTTTCAAGGCTAAAACAAAACACAGTTCATTGTGCCAGCTATTCAGAGCTGCAGATGATTATCAAACCCCCAAATTTCACACCCTCCCACTTCAACATGAAAAATGTTGGACACATGGAAACAAAGAGTTCGATGAAGTATATAAGTTGTGATTTCTAGCTGTGTGTTAATTAGTTTAAACCTTTTATTCTTAAATATTTTAGCTCACTACTTTGATAGCACTGGAGAACCTCTTAAGGCAGACATTTATATTTACATCATGCACTTAAAACATGCTCCTCTGCCAACAGCCTTTGCTACCAGACAGCCAAATTCAGATTTTACCTCTCCCTGTCAATTTTATATGGTGTCTGAAGTTAAATTATTTACTCTCCTCGCCTGCAATTGGTCTCAAGGAGGTTAAGATCTGGTTAAACACAATGTCCTGAATAAAAACAAGAGAACACCACAGGTCTCATGGTGCTCCAGATTTGTGTAACACCACCTGAAATCCAAGGACTCCACATAAAATGCTGAAATATGAGTAGGGAATGCCTATTGCAGGAATCTTGCCACCTAGAGAGGAGCCAAGTGCAAAAAGAAGGGGAAACATGCAGAGATGATGACACTCTACTACCAATTCTCACAGTTTAAAGCTGTAAAAATCCAGGCATTCCACATGGTTATCAAAGCCTCAGCCCTGCGACAACGAAATCAAGTTTTTCTTTGGAGGAAGGGTTCTGAAAAGTCAACTCTGTGGCTCCAAGCTGCCAAAAGGCAACTCAAAAATAATTTTTAGGTTTGGACGTTTACATTAACCACCTGGTGCTGGATTACTTGGCTTTGGCAATACTATGAAAATCAAGCTCACACAGGGCTAGTGACAAGAGAGATCAGAACCCCAGCTCATGGAATTAAAGTCAATACAAAGTTTGTACAGTTTTTTCAGCTCTGTGATACATGTAAGCAGCTGGATCCCCACACTTTACTGAAAGCATCTCCACTTGAGTACTCCCTGCTTGCTAGGTTTTATTTTGCAAAATAGCCTAATTGAAAAAAAAAAAAAATCACTTTTTATTTGTATGTTGGACACATGGAAACAAAGAGTTCGATGAAGTATATAAGTTGTGATTTCTAGCTGTGTGTTAATTAGTTTAAACCTTTTATTCTTAAATATTTTAGCTCACTACTTTGATAGCACTGGAGAACCTCTTAAGGCAGACATTTATATTTACATCATGCACTTAAAACATGCTCCTCTGCCAACAGCCTTTGCTACCAGACAGCCAAATTCAGATTTTACCTCTCCCTGTCAATTTTATATGGTGTCTGAAGTTAAATTATTTACTCTCCTCGCCTGCAATTGGTCTCAAGGAGGTTAAGATCTGGTTAAACACAATGTCCTGAATAAAAACAAGAGAACACCACAGGTCTCATGGTGCTCCAGATTTGTGTAACACCACCTGAAATCCAAGGACTCCACATAAAATGCTGAAATATGAGTAGGGAATGCCTATTGCAGGAATCTTGCCACCTAGAGAGGAGCCAAGTGCAAAAAGAAGGGGAAACATGCAGAGATGATGACACTCTACTACCAATTCTCACAGTTTAAAGCTGTAAAAATCCAGGCATTCCACATGGTTATCAAAGCCTCAGCCCTGCGACAACGAAATCAAGTTTTTCTTTGGAGGAAGGGTTCTGAAAAGTCAACTCTGTGGCTCCAAGCTGCCAAAAGGCAACTCAAAAATAATTTTTAGGTTTGGACGTTTACATTAACCACCTGGTGCTGGATTACTTGGCTTTGGCAATACTATGAAAATCAAGCTCACACAGGGCTAGTGACAAGAGAGATCAGAACCCCAGCTCATGGAATTAAAGTCAATACAAAGTTTGTACAGTTTTTTCAGCTCTGTGATACATGTAAGCAGCTGGATCCCCACACTTTACTGAAAGCATCTCCACTTGAGTACTCCCTGCTTGCTAGGTTTTATTTTGCAAAATAGCCTAATTGAAAAAAAAAAAAAATCACTTTTTATTTGTATTTGGACATCAGTACTTTGACTGGCAGAAGAGGAGAGGGAAAAAGTCACATTCCTTATGTACCACAGGTATTCTGCACTAAAATGCTGCAGTCATCTGCATGATTTTGAAGGAGAGCAGAACAGCAGTGGGATAAGTCAGAAAGGCACTGGATTAAGGGGTAGGTTAAAGTTAGTCAAGAACTGCCAAAGGCACTTAAATGAAACACAGATGAGTAAACATTACAAACACAGATAAGCTCCCTTGTGCCTCTAAGCTGTGGCTGGAACAGCAATGGCAGGAGAACATTTCAGTGGTACCAGCAGAAGTCAAAAACAGGGGCTTCAACACAGACCAGAAAGGCTCTGCACCACAGGCAGTGTCTGCAGGGAATGGCACTCTCCTTGGAAGTGCCCACCCCAAGAAGAGGCAGAGTCAAGGTGACTACAGTGTTCAAGGCAAAGCAACTAACACTGCCACAGGTGAAAGGCACATTCAGAAATCCACAGCAAGGAGACCACAGAATTAGGCCACCCAACTGACTCAAGCTGCAACCTGCTCAAAAACCTAACTCTGACCCAGACAAGTTGATCTTGTCCATCTCACAGGTGAAAGTAAACACCTGAGATAGCAGGATGCAATTTGATTGTGGCAGGGAAAAAACAACTGCTTTAATAAACTCCATCAGGAGCAGGAGTCTGTACCACCAAACACACACAGATCCAGAACCTCCACAACAGCTGCATGGAAAGTGGTATTAGGATCTAAACTCTGCTTTCCACCCACCACATGCAGAACACTTGTACCATTTAACTGGGTGGATAAGGGTAACTCCTAATCTTCGATGAAAAAATATAGGCAGCAATTAATTAAAAAAAAAACAAACGGCCATTTTGAGAATTAAAACTTTTATTAGTGTATTCACATATTAGGCAAATGCAACACGCATGAAGCTTATCTCTTAGGTCCACAAGTTCTACCAATACATTAGTCTACTGGTAAAACTAGCACAAACTGGTAACTGCTTTGCCAATTTTTGAAAGGTGTCTGGCCCATTTTCTCAAGGCTTGATTTTTGGTATTGCTTCTATGCCCTAGTCATTATGGCATAAAAATATCCATCACTATCATCAATTCAGTCAAGTGATTAAAAGCTGTAACACTGGCCACATTTTTGTTCTCAAAGCTAAGTTATCACTAGCTGTACTTACAAAGTACAGAACTAGTGTAATTGATGAAACAATGGAAAAAAACAGACAAAGGCAATCCTGCTACTGCCACAATAACAAAAGAATGACAGACAGCTAGATCACAAGATTGTTAGTAAGATGTGTATTTTTCAAGTCAGAATAACCCTTCTATACAGTTTCCCAACCCAGCCCCAACCCAGACTTATTTGTAGAATATATTTCAGAATATTTTTAATATGGTGCAGCTGTAGTGTCCAAGGGTTCACAATAACATGCACTGTTACAAAGAACCTAGAAGTCCTCCTTTGCTGGTCATACCTCAGCAACCACTATTCTAGAGGTTTTGCAGAAGCAACTACTTTTAATAACAAGGCCCATTATGACATAATGAATGCGTATGATCTGGTGTGTAAGTAAACTATAAAAGCGACTCAGATAAGAAATTTAAATTCTGTTACTGAAATATGTTAAGAAGCTGCATCTATTTAAAACCTAAACAAAGAGTCTAGCTTACCCTGGGAAATAATTTTTCAAGGTATACGGCTTTGAAAACTAAACCCCATTATTCTTAGTGACATATGAAAAAATGAAAAAAAAAAACACATGATAGGGGGTAAGACTTATTAAATGAAAAAAAAAATACAGATGTAAGGGGTAAGCCAATAATCTTGTGCACTTAATCCAATATCCAAAGCCATGGTAAATTCTCAGTCCATGAGAAAAAAATCACTCATTTCAATGATCCAAGGTACAAAAAAGTCCCAAATTACACCACTGCCGGCAATACTGCTGGCAACAGATGCATCAACTCAAATGGGTATCAAAAAGTAGACTGCTAGTGTGATGGACACTCAGAATTTATAATATGAATTCATTTTAGGCCCCATTAAGTAAATAAAGTATCTTAAGACTTCACAGATGAATCTCAAGACATTTCTTTCCCTTCCAATGGAGGGACTTTCTCTTTAAGAACACAGCAAAAAATTCAGCTTTTCTACAAGGAAAGTGTTTTTATGTTTAGGACAACTTGAAAACCTGCTTATATTAAAAAAATATAAAAGAATAAGGGAGCACAGTCTTGGAATTTCATGAGATACTTGCCCCAATCAAAAAACCAAAATTACTATTTATGGGAACTAAAATGTAGAACAGCACAATACTGTGATATTTGAGATCATGATACATTATCCGTATATATACTTAGCTATTCATGTTATTGATAACCATTAGGACACTCAATTATATACCCAATAAAAAACACCATTAAAGAGTCTTTAGAACTGTCCCTTCTTTCTGAAGAAGGCTTTTCTATACACTAAATTTTCATCTAGTATCAGAGTATAGGAAACAGAATCCACAAGGTGCTTTAACTGATGAGACCTCAAGTGCTGTTTTTTCTTTTTTCTTTTCCTTTCTTTTTTTTTTCTTTTTCTTTTTTTTTTTTTTTTTTTCTTTTTCTTTTTTTTTTTTTTTTTTTTTTTTTCCTTTTTAAAAATCCTTTTTAGATAGTAAACAGTTCATGGGGACCACACACAAATACTACGACAGACGAGCTGTTATATTAAGTCTGTTGACTGGACTCGATTTTTAGCCCACTGGTGACAGAGGAGAGTTTTAGGACATGCTGGAGCAGCGAACTGAAGGGGAGCCCATCTGAGTCAATACTTTGTCCAGCCACTGTAGAGGCCCGTTCAGGTGAAGCTCAATCCAGCAAGGAGTGCTTGTTACCGTCTGCCGCCTGGAAAACAAAGAACAGGGAAAAGTCACTCCATGGGGTTGGTGTCACCAGGTTTTGGTAGCAGAGGAGACTTCTGTCAGAAGCTGCCACAAGCTTCCTTCATGTCTGGCAGAGATATCCTTTGGCAGCTCTGAAGATGGACATCCTGCTGGTCAAGGCTGGGCCACTTAGGAATGGTGATGCCTCCGGGATAACAGAGTTAAGAAAAAAATTAGGTTTTTGCCCAGTTTTAATTGTGGGCACAGAAGAGCAGGGGTGAGAACAAGTGAGAGGAACAACTCTGCAGACACAAAGGGCAGTGGAGGAGGGGCAGGAGCTGCTCCAGGTGCCAGAGCTGAGATTCCCCTGCAGCCCATGGAGGGCACCAGGGTTGCAGAGATGCACCTGCAGCCCCTGGAGGAGCCCACACCAGAGCAGGGGATGCCTGAGAGCCTGTGGGAGACCTGTGGAGAGGGGAGATGCTGGAGCAGCCTGTCCTTGAAGGACTGCACCCCATGGAAGAGTGATCCACATTGCAGCAGTTCATGGAGAATTGTTGCCCATGGGATGGACTCACACTGGAGAAGTTCATGTAAAACTGTCTCCTGTGGGAGAGACCCCACACTGGAGCAGGGGGAGGACTCTGACTTCTGTCCCTGAGCAGTGGAAGGAACAACACCTGAAGAACTGACAAGGACACACATTCCTACCTCCCTTTGCAGCTGGGGGAGAAGGTAGAGCTGGCAAGGGGTGAAAGTGTTTTAGGTCTTATTTTACTGCTCATTACCTTGCTCTGGTTGTGTTAGCAATAATTCATTCAATAACTCTGATTCAAGCCTGTTTTTCCCAAATGGTATTTGGTGAGGGTCTCTCTTGGTCATTATCTCATTACTATTTTGCTCTACTTTCTCTCCCCAGTCCAGCTGTGGACAGGAGTGAGAGAGCTACTTTGGTAGCTGCCTGGAATCTAGCCAGAGTCAACCCACTACAGCCAGAAAGCAGGTTCAGCTGCCACAAAATTCTGCATCATATGATTAAATATGTTTCCATCCATATCTAGTACACAGCGATTGAAATCTGTAACCATTACCATAACTGTTACTAAACTTTTTCCAGAAAAAAAAAAAAAGTCCCAGAACTCCACTTCACATATGTAAGACAAATCAATAATTACATGCTTGTCCATAATACATGAAGAATATTTCATCCTGGAGAATAATAACACAAGCATTTTCTTCAAGTGCCACACACTAAGAGCCTTACTTCTAAAAAGAAGTTTAGAAGCAAAGGTTGTCCAGGTGATGCAGTGCTCACACCACAAACAACTGTGTGCAGCTGTATCTCAACCTTTCAAGGGTCTGCATGTATAACTGGATTTGAGTTTTGTAGACAACTACTGAGAAATATGGAATAGAAACCCTTGGCTCTGCATGTATAACTGGATTAGAGTTTTGTAGACAACTACTGAGAAATATGGAATAGAAACCCTTGGCTCTGCACTGTCAGTGTGGAAAACACCACAGTGCTATGGTGATCATAAGCTCTGGCTTTTTGGAGTTAACTACATGATAAATTTACAAGGAAATTGGTAGATGTCAGAAACACTGTATCAAAACACAGTGTGTGGTTATACTGAGTTAACTGATGGTATCTCAAAGGAACACCAAACTTTATCTCTGATTTCCTGTAATCTTACACTTCTACATGTGTTTTGTACTACAACATCCTCACACAAACAACTGAAGCAGAAATTGGGTTTCCCTTGTCTTTTATACTAACTTGCCTATAATTTTCCGCAATAGAAGCCTTTATTTAAACACCATATAGCAAATTTCAGTAAAGCTGAAGGACTGACAACCATAAAAGCTTTATTCTCTCTCCCATGTACCTTTGTTTCCCCGATCTGTTATTCAAACATCTTCCTTCTCATCTCCAAAGTAAAGAAATCAGTATTGGACAAAACAAACTCTGCCTGAGAAATCCTATTTCACTGTACCCTCTCTAGGCATGGGAGTTTTCCCTAACCAGACTGGCAAGACTATGGTTGCTAAGCCAGTTTTTCATAGTAATTCCAGCTATCCCAAGATTCAAAGGCAGCAGATTAGTCAGACACAAACTGAGCTCCTTCGTTTTTACTGTTGGCACTGCAGGCCTTTGCTTCAAGGAAATCTGTTTATATAAACAGAGGAACTGAAAAGGCAGAAAGATTAAGACACTGAAGATTGATTTCAAAAGTTTCACATTTTCTAGAAGACAGCAGCTGGGGTCTGTGCTCTTTCAGCACTCTACAAAACAGTTATCTTAGCCCCAAATGCCTATGCCATAACAAAGTGATACAACAGAAAAACAAATCTAAACCACAGGAAATATAGTTCCATTTACTCTTGAATCCTCTCCCAAAGAAGGAAGTTCATTGTTCCACCACTGCCAACTCTCCTGCAATGTGTTTCACAACACAATTCCTCAAAATTTTACAACTGGTTCTGTTCAACAATCCTCCCTTTGCACCACGCTGGTAAAAACTGGTAAAATAGTGACAGTCACTGGGCAACTACCTTAAAGCTAAAAACTCAGCTTCTTCAACCCAAAGATTTCCAGTTCAAAGATTACTAATTACCCCTGCTGATCTTTCTTTAGAAGATGATCCTGGACCTGGATAGTTCCTGTGCTAACATGAACATTTGACTGGTGATCAGAACTTCCACCATGCCCAATTTGGGCCAACATGTAAACAAAGCAAAAAGCTTTGTTAGGTATTGTGTCTACCAAGCCTATAAAACATATCACCTTGCTGTACCTGCACATTTATGCACATATGCTTAAAATGCAAGTAATGCTTTGCCTTTGCCTAAAACTGTTCTAAGAGAAATGGTTTTTTCACAAAATAATGAAGCACAGATGTTTTAACAAGTGATGGGGTTTACAGTGTTTCCTGATCCATTTCAACAAGTCAGGCTATATTAACTTAAATTCAAGGTTGTGTCATTGCAGCCACCTCTTCTTGCTCTAATCCCAACTGCAGCATATTTACAAGCTTTGTGTATCAGTAATTTATTAGCATCATCTTAAAGAGAGGTGCAAAGAAATTAGTTCAGTATGAGTCAGTAACCAGTTTTTGTGCTGTTTTGGCAGTGCTACCACTGCAGCTTTTTCAATCCTATGGTCTACAAACAGTTTATAGACCAACCACCAACATTCTCTCTACTAAGAACTTTAACAAAAGCCTCCTCACAGTTTTAAACCAGCACTTACACTCACTTCAAAATGCCTCTATATAATCTGACTGATTAAGCCTTTCTTCTGCTCAGATTTGAATGTTGTATTTAATTATGCTTAAGTGTATACATACTCCTTCAGAGCCAATCCAATAGCTCTTTAAACCTGAGCCAGATTTTTTTCTTGTGCACCTCTTCCTAACAAAGAGGTACCAATTTATTCCATTACTCAAATTTCTCATTTCATCTCATTAGACTACTACAAAATTGGCTTCATTTAGCTGAGAAACCTCCCCCACATACTGACACTGCTATTTACATGTATGTATTTCAAGAGCAGATAAAGGAATCAACCCAGATGGAGCCTACACACCATTATTCAATTTCAGAAATTATATGGCTTTTAAAAAATCATTATGTATTGCATTAGGGTATTGACATGTCAGACTTCATTTTTCAGTGGACAGTTTCTAGAGAGGTTTAAGATATTTGTTTAAAACCACAGGTCTAGCTCTCCAAAATAATGAAATCTTTAGAACTTGCTCAGTTAGAAGTCAATTCCTTTTGTTCTTGAATTTCCATACTGCATTAAAAACAGGCACTGTCCTCAACTACCACTCTTCATTTGTGCTAATAGAGAACACAATTGGAATCCATTCAAAAGCAGATAGAATGCTATTTCTTTCCACTCAAAGAACTGTTTTTAGAAGTTTTACTACATAAACACAGTCATCTTACTCCTGCAAAGCTTTTTCCAGCGCAAGTTCCAAAATATTTGCCATCCCTTAGACGCTCTCCAGCTATTCCATTCTGCAAGAGGCACTGCAAGTCTCCGTTGGGCATCACCAACCCCATCCTGCACCACAGCCTAAGGCACTCATGCTACATGCAGAACAGGACAGAGACAGTTGCAAGTCTAACACACAGCACATAATCTCACAGCACAAACTGTGGAACTCTGAGATGATGGCATGGATTTCACCACAACGTGCAAGCCAGCAGGACTGAGGAAGGGAAAGGAACTTTGACGACATTCCTTGCTCAACAGTTGGCTTCAATGCAACACTAAAATCAGTTTATGGACTTTGCAACTTAGCAGTTCCATAGCTGAGGGGGTGAAAAAAGGAAAATATGGGTTCAATTTGCAGACAGCACTTCCACAATAGCAGCAAGAAGTGTGTATGTATGGCTTTCAAGACAGACAGAAATGGCATACTAGTGAAAGAACAAAAACTATTAACTCTAAATTTAAGAACAAAGAAGGTTTTTTTCTTACCTGTATTCAGCCCCCCATCCTTTAACAAAGCTCATTCTTATGGTACACATTCTAGTAAGCTGATAAACTGCTTCAAAGCCCTGATTCACAGATTGAGCCAGAAGAGCAGCAAATTCTTGGTTATTGAAGATTTTTAGATTGCATCCTATAAAGAGTCAAAAAGGTACAGTCAGTGAATACACTTGCATTTGCTACACAGAAGCCTGAATCTATGAAGGAATTACAAAAAAGGAAAGCAAACGTCTTTAAGTGAGCACATGCACTGGGTATTTTCCCACGAGACCTCTGGTAGGCCACTAACCTGGAGGAATTTTGCACACAGTTGCAGGATGCCAGCCGTATCTTTGATTGCAGTTGGGGCTCTGAACGAAGATCGCGCTATCACTCAGGCACTCGGCAAAAACTTCTCCGCCAATGTAATACAGACGCACTCCCCTGCCTGTAGTAAAATCCAAAGGAACTCTAGTTATGGTATGACACAAGCAGATTAGGGAACAAGGGGGTTTATTTTTCAGAGAAGGCCAAGGTTTTTCTTTACAACACAAACAGAAATCAATTACCTACACAACCTCACTGCTGACAGCTGTAGAAGGGGCAGAACACGATTAAATTGCATTTTTCTTCCATGAATGTGCAATATATGAAGGAAAAGCAGAATAATTTTTGGTCGAAAGTGAAAGAGCCTTTTCCAGCCATATAATGGCTTGTAACCAAATCCAAGCTCAGAAGCAGTGTTCATAAAAACAGAATTAAAACTTGTGCTAATATTAAAGCATTGTATGTGAAGCAGCACAGGCCACTATGGTAAAAAGAGAAAACACAAGATCACCACTGCAACACTCTCTGCTTACATACACCCACACTATTTCACAACCCACTGCATACCCCTGTGCTGCTTTAACAAAAACAATATGACTTCATTTAGCCCTATTACAAAAAAAAAAAAAAAAAAAAAAAAAAACAAAAAAAAAAAAAAAAAAAAAAAACCCCCAAAAACCTGAAAAAAAAAAAATCTCAATTTTCCACCTTTAAACTGTTACTTTGTTCTGTCTCTCTGAGTGGAAAACAAATCTGCATGGTGTATTTCTAGCAGAAAGTAAATAATGTGCAATTGATCTCCCAGAGAGAACTATTTATAATTAACAGATACTTTAGAGGCCACAGTTTCCATTCGCCTTTTTAGTTAAAACCATTTTTCAAACAAAATGTAAGCTCCCTCTATTAAAGAGTAAGAGCTCATGACATTTTTTGCTTTTCCTCATCATTGATCATTTTGACCAGTCAGCACAGGCACAGCCTGGGTTTCTGCACATCTAAAATTTTATTAGACAAGCATTTGGATTTGGCATTTGGACTTGGCATAAAAGGAGTCAGTTCTACAGAAGAGGTTGAAAATTTACTGCAAATAAAAACAAACAAAAAAAACCAAAAAACAAAAACAAAAACAAAAAAAATTTAAAAAACCCCACAAACTTGTAAATGTTGCTAATGAAAGTATCCAGACCAAAAAAAATAAGGTAGTTTACTGAAGAACCCAAAGTCAAGACACTGCATTGTGGAAAACAACATTTTTGATTAACCATTACAGAGAAAACCCTAATCACATCAAAACAATGGGTCTGCAATAGCAGCTTTTCCCATTTCAGAAAAGAATTCAGAATTTCATCTATCAGTGTCCGTTCTGCATTTTATAAACTAGAATAAACTAAGCAACATGGGAATATTTGGTAATTAAAGCTTAGATTTCAATTACAAGCAATTCTGAATATAAATGCTGCCCAGGGCAGAGTGGCCCACTGAGGATGCCAGGAGCCACAAATCTGCCCCCTGGGATGCTTTGGTGCACCATCATTTTCCAGAAGGCAAGAACAGCAATGTGAGCCACAGGAGTGCCACACAGTAGAGTGGCTTCCTCCTGTGCTGCCCTGAGCGTGACAGCTGTGTGACTGCAGCTGCCACCAGCTATGGGGCTACTGAGTGAGGAAAAGCAGCTCCTTTCAGCTCCAGCCATCACTACCTCTCTTCCCAGTTCAAACTGGCTTCAGCAGCAGAAGCTGCTATGTTTCTCCCTAATTTCAGAAGCAGTGACTCTGTGTCTTTCCACTTCTGTTCTCAGCCAGAGAGACCAAACTATCCTTGACAAGCCCTGAGAGATACGGCTGATGGCTGGCTGCACAAGGGTGAAAGGAACCCAACACACATCCTACCTGGGTCATTGCAGGTAATTTAACCGACAAAATGAAATTAAATAGTTAAAAGATCAGAGATCTTTACCTATATGTCGCCTTGTCATTTCCACTGTAGCATTTCTGTTTACATTGGAAAGCAGACCTAGACAAAATCGCTCTGAATTTGATGGATCTGTAAAGCCATCTACAGTCAGGGAAGGCTGAGACGCATGGAAGGTTTCTCCCACTCTTTGATTCAACTCATAATATGCTATTGAACACCAAAACGCAGGCTCCGAGTAAGTAACTGGTTGCAAGTCTAAAAAAAAATTTTAAAAACCAAACTTAACACAGATTTTGAGGCTGAAAGTAGATTGATCTACCCTGCTATTTATCTCTCCCAGAAATGACAGCAGTAGCCTCCTCAAACTACTCAAACTATATTTTGCTTGCTGTCCTTTTTACCTACTTCAGTAAATAGAATGGAATTCAATCTTCCACACAAGGGAAGGAGGAGGGGAAGAAGGGATGATCTAATCTGACCACAGCTCATTTAGTTCAGTACTTGCATTTTGCTCAGCAAAATGATTAAGCTAATGGTGCTCTGAGCGCCAGACATTGAGACATTCCTGTTGCCTTTTCTGTAGCTTGCAAATATTTTGGCAGCATTAAAGAAAAGATTAAACTATCAAACACTGAAGAAAAATGAAAAAAAAAAAATAACATGAAAATCATGTTCTTTTGTATTACAATGTTTCTTTAGATAAAGGTAGTTCTAAGCTACTTTATTGTCCCCTACTAGAGAATCTTCCCTGTGTATCTTCAGTTTTTTTCTTCACTGCTTCCCCTTTACCTACCCTAATTACTTACTCAGCGTTCTGCATTTTCCTGTCACATCCTGTCATCATTCCTTAAACAAACCCATGGCAATCTGATCTTCCTGTGGCACTTATACAGACACACAACAACAGCACTGGATCAAAGCAGGTGGGCTACTAATCTGGGAGCAACAACTGTGCTGTGGTTACAGGTGAAACAGCACATGAGAAGAGCAGCAGAACACACACACAAGGGAGACAGCAAGTCTGGGCAGCATTACAGAGAGGCAAACATCCTTTTAAACTATTCATTTTATAAATGCTGTTCCTGCACACACAGAGATATCACTCTTTCTCTTTGCTACAAGCTCAACAGGTACAGAACTAGAGTAATTGTTAAAAAGTGATTAACCCAGCCCCATTATGCTTAACATCACGAAGCCAACACAACAGTGACCTCTTAATATAGCTCTTAATTTCTTACAGCACATTTTCACTTTTAAAGTAATTACATATATAATGAAGAGTCACTACACATGGAGAAATAATTGTAAGTATTTCCAGCTTACCCAGGCTATGATTAACTGGAGAAAGACTACTAGGAGACAGCTCTGCTGGAGATCCTGTTGAAGCAAGACAGACAGGTTTCAGAGCAAATGGTTTTTCTTATTTCAGATCAGTAGGCATAACCATTATCTACATCAGGTTTTCACTGAAGTTTTTCAGAGCAAGGAATCTCAGTTTTCTGCAATATCATACACTTACTCTGAATTAGGATTTCATTCAATCTTCCAGACTTCTGGGTACCCACCCCTCCTTGTAAAGACTCAATTAACTTAGCATTGTATTTGGCAGAACTCTGCCAGTTCGTGCACACTCTCAACCTTATTTATGCACTTCTCCAGTAAGAAGGTAGTGACTTCCCAAATTCAGTAAAAAAACAGGTAAGAAAGAGCTGATGAGACAAGCAAGACATTGCCTCTCTGTTCTCACAGGAAAAGGTTTATCTTGGAAAAGACCTTCCAGTATCTGAAGGGAGCCTTCAGGAAAGTTGGAAAGGGACTGTTTACAAGAGCAGGTAGTGACAGGACAAGAGGGAAAGGCTTCAAACTGAAAGAGGAGAGATTTAGATTAGATATTGGGAAAAAAAATCTTTATGCTGAGGATGGTGAGGCCCTGGCACTGGTTTCCCAGAGAAGCTGTGACTGCTCCGTACCTGGAAGTGTCCAAGGCCAGGCTGGACAGGGCTGGGAGCAACATGGGGTAGTGGAAGGTGTCCCTGGTGGAAAGAGACGGTCTCTAAGGTCCCTTTTATCCCAAACCATTCTATAGTTTATGATTCTATGATTGCCAGAAAAGAGCAAGCTAGATTTCCTCATTTGAGGAAATAATTCTTTCCCAGAAGGAGGAATTTAAACACTCATAAAAACATGAACTCTCCAACACAATTTGCACACAATGTGGCAAAATACAGAAAGGCTTTCACAGAAACATTCCTACAGTGACTGCTGATGTCAGGCTGTTTTAATTAAGGTATTTATTGTCACATAATGGGAAAATATTGCAGTTCTTACAGAAACTGGTGCAGCGGATTCCAACTTACTGAAAATGGTTGCTAACATTAGCTAACCAAGCACACTCAAGTCTGCCAACACACAGCAGGAGGTTCTAACCCAGCACATTAACTGTGCTTTGTCCAAGTCTAAGGTCAACCACATTATCTAGAAACCCTTACATACAAAGGCACAATGTGCCACAGAATATTCCACAAAAGAATTAATTTGAAACATGGCAGAAGTGGTAAGTTTGTCAGAGTTAGAGACTGGTTCTCAGAACACAGACTGTCTATACCTTGTTTAGGCCAACAGACGTTGTGCTTCAGTGAACCTATTTTCCGGGGAATGGTAGAAACCAATTAGCTATTCAGATCTATTTTAAGGGTTTCTGGAGAAGTCTTAATTAGACCTGGATGCTTCTGTTACAGAACAAATGTAATACACTTAATATGTCACAGAATGTTTTAAGAGCATTTCCCTGGGAAAAAACTGTTTTGTTCATTAAAGACTGAAAGTGGTATTTTAGGCATAAAACACCAGGTTTTACAGAGGAAAACTGCAATCATCTTTTGGGTTGAATTCATGCTCCTATGCAGAGGGATCACAGCTAGCAATACAAAGTCTTGAAAGTGATGAAAAATAAATGTTACCTGTATCCATGCTTTGGTTCAGCTGCTGGTCACTTGTTTCTCCATCTTCACTGATATATCCTGGAGGAGGTGTTTCTTATTAAAAAAAAAAGAAAAATCAACCAATTTGTAAAATGACTTGGCAAACTTCTGTAAGATCTAAGTCTTGTGCATTTTGTCATGACATCTTCACGAGCTCTGTTACACCTACCTGAACACTGAATGTCATTTTGCTGGCCCTTTTTCCTTACAGTAGGACTTCAAACATGTTACCTGCCTTATTGGTATGTAAAATGTATCTTCTTTTGTATGTCAGTCAGTTGCTGAAATACATTATATAAATACCAGAATCCTTGTTTGTTCTGTTTAAGACAAGATGCTGTCACTACAACGAGTAACAATTTTGCAATTGTGATCAACAGCTTTCATATTTAGTAGAAGTACAAATGAAAAAAACCATCTGGTGATTTCCACAAAAAAATAATGTGAGCTGTCTTTATGTAGGATAACCATCAGATCAGATACCCTCCCACACCTTACTGAAGTTGTTAGATTTAAAGGTTGTTTTTCAGTTCAGTCCCCAAATATGTATTTCTTCCATACACAACAGCTGATTTGACTCATTTATAACTATATTAACTTAGAACACTGCACAAGTTCTGTTATTATTACTACTAATACTTCTAAGCTCTATTAAAATTATCATGTACTCTTTTAACTAGCTTTCTTTAAAGATAGAATTTCACAGACCAAAGGAAATTCACTACCAACTTTGAAGCATTCTGATACCAGAAACTGTGCCCAATTCCTCAGAAATATCTTCAAAACCCAGGAGAGTATGCATGTTTCTTTTCTCCACTCATAATGTTCTTTGTAATCCAGATAATGAGTTAACCAACTGCCTTTCAGGAAATAATTTTCTTTGAACTGGGCAAATGTCTTTTCCTACATACTGTAGGCAAAACCTGTGTTTCTCTGGTGAAAGTGTTTGAAGCTAACTATCTCTACAATCACCTTAGAATTGTCTCTGAAACTTCCAGAGGTTAAACAACTTTAATTGCATTATTACCAAACAGTAGAAATTTAAAGATAAAGCTTTTTTGTTTAAGAAATAAAATAAAGTTATAACAAGCGCCATGTCTGAGATGTACTGCATATTGTGAGATCAGAAGGAAACCAGTGAGAGGAAACTAGATTAAGTCAGTTGATTAAATGAACTGAGAGAATTTTATCTTTGATTCATTCTGTGTGCTAAATATAGACATGACAGAATTCAAGTGAAAATTTAAAAGGACAATTAAAGAAAATCTTCACTAGTAAGAAATATGTTAACAAAAACCATATCCATTTTAAAGATTTTTACAGTATTCACTGTGATTAAAGGGACTCCACCCTTCTCCAAATCATTAGCTATAGCTAAGCCCACAGCTGTGGCAAAAGGTCAATACACATTTCCAATCCAACCCATGACTCCTGTTTCCAGTTGCTAATCTAGGCTCTTTGGCACAGATGATTTTCCATGTCTAGTCTCTGCCCAAACAGAGATTTACTCTACCTAGTACTATTAGCAGTTTAGGGCCAGAGGTTGAGCACCACACAGCTGGAAATGAACACTCAGGTGGGGCACCAAAAATTTGCAGCAGAGCTTGAGTGCTGCCAGAAGTGTGGATGATGCAGCTCAGCCCACCCAGAACCTGAACTGGAACATGCAGCTCGCAAAGGCCACCCTGCACCTCCGCGACCACCGAGCTCTCTTGCAGATCAAGTGCTGAGACCGGTCTGGGGAACAAAGTTACCAGATGCGAGCCTGCCCTACAGCTGAAGGAAATGGTGCTCTGAAGAAGGCTGTCAAGGCACACAGGGCTTATCAGAACCCAGCCAAGCATTCCAGATTAAGTCAGCAAGGTCAAATAAAGTAAGATATCACAATACCCAGCTGGAAAGTTAGTGTTCTCAGGAATGGAATGGGTATAGTCATCCAGAGGCGGCAGCTCCGTTAGGATCTCAGTGTGCCGCGGCACGAGCACGGGAGGCAAGACTGGAAAGGCAAAATTCAAAAATCACTGGTAATCAAAATACACAATTTTGTGAGCTAAAATGAAAAAAATCTAATTTATTTAAGACTTTCTTCAGATGTTTTGAAATCTTCTGAAACCCAGCACTGCTAGTAGTACATTTGCACAGCTAGTTACTGCAAGAGATAGGATTCCTGAGATGCTTAAATAAGACTATTCCACATTAGCAAAGGTAAATCAACTTTTTTGTCCTATCCAGTCTGAATTGCATCTGGCCAGCTGGAAACTGCTAGCAGTCCTGGAAATGTTTATAAACACATATGTAAAGATTTTTCAGTAATTTTACTATTAAAAACTTTCAAGGATATGATCTCAAAAAGAATCTTGTACTTCTATCAAGAGAGGACATCACCTTTCTCTTGTTTTTCATTTAAAACATTACGCTGAATAAACACAAACAGACGCTGACACAGAAAGTCAGAAGCAGTCCTCCTACCTGGCGTCTCCACTCTCTGGTAGTGGTAAGGGTTTACACATACTTCATCCTTTTTAAGATTAAAAGCATATTCACAGTTTTCAATTGCTTTAAGTTCATGGTGACTGTGAAGATCTGGCCAACGCCACAAACGACAGTAAATAACATGCGGCAATCCTTTACGATGAGATACCTGTAGACGGCCATCGAGAGATCTGGAGGGAAAAGATGTTACAAAGTTTTTACAGACTGCATGCTCTTAGCCACTTAAGCAAGAGTGCACACACATGGGATGGGTAGTTTATTCATTCTCAGAATTCAGTGGATTGATACTGCTAGTGACATTTATACTCTTGTTGAAAAGCTTCAAATGTGATAAAAATGATCATATCAGTAGTCTCTTAACTTGTATTTGAGTTGCTCTAATCATTGGCAGTTAAATTTAGAATTCATTAAAAGCCACTTTACCTCCAACCAAGTATTTAGGATGATTGCTTCATATATTTTTTTAAATGCAGAAGAGAGTTGTTAAAAAAAAAATCACACACTTAATGGTCCCTTCCACTACTAATCCTCAAAGCTTTGCTGTGGCATAGATGCTTTATGGCTTTAAGTTTAAGAATTCCCACAGGACTGCAAATAAGCCTATAAGCAGTCAGCTGCCCAAGTGATCCACATGGCAGTATAACTGCAATGCAAAAAGCATGAATGCACATCTTTTAAGGACTGTACAGTTTATCTTCTTGACTTCATCTGCCTTACTACCAGCTGAAATAATTTTGCTAGTTTTAAGACAGACTGCATATGCTTACACAAATGCAGATGTTTATGATTGTTATGGGATGGGAGACAAACCTCAATACAGAAATCAAGTAATGTGACATGAAAAAATAAAGACCCTGTTTAGAATTTGCCTGCCATTAACTACTGAAGAATTTACAAACAATTCTTTAGTAGCTCATATCTGAGCCAATTAGCAAGATTTAACTAAAAGCTTGTGGCATACAAAGCAGTTTAAACACTTTGTAAGATTAGGTCTAAAGAATTAAGTTTTCCAATTTTGTTAATATAAATACCAAATCACATTAGAGCTTGCATTTAACAAGTCTTCCCATTCTTTCAATAGCACTGGCATGAAAAAGGAGTAATAGTAGAATTAAGAGTTTCATTGGTCAAAACATCAGCTGTGAACACACTGATTTCTACACTGGCAAGGAAATACTTCAAAATGCTGTACCATGAGAGGCCTAGGAATCATTTTAGTCTATTTTACAGCTAAAGCATCCCATTACAGACCCTCCAAAGGTTTCTAAACATAAACTGCCCTAAGAGTTCAAACAAAGGCCATGTGTATCCAAAACTGAACATCACAATCTAAAGTTCAAGTGTCACCACTTAAGAATTAATCTCATTTTCCATGCACACACTAATTTGCTGCTATTCTGAAAAACAAAAATTCAAACTCTGAAGAAAAGCATATTATAACTGATATTTAGCTGCTTTCTGTACTCTTCTTGATTAAACAGCTAAATATTCTTTCACACAGTATACAAAACAGAATGTTTTACAGTGCAGTACCTTAAGATTCAACTGCCACACAACTTTAATTGCTAAATCAAGCAGGAGAAAAGGAAAGACAAGCCATTACCAAACTGGTTCAAGGAGCAGATCACAATGGGAAAGATAAGGAACATCCAGTCATTATTCATCCAGTCATAGACACAAATTAAAGCAGAGGCAAATTTAAACAAAGCAAGAAAATAGCACAGGATTGTAAACAGGCACAGACTTTCAGAAGGATACATGAAGCTCAGTTCTATAACATACTTGCTCAGTGACCACTGAAAACAGACACTTTATTTTATATAAGTAACATACAACTAAACCTCACACCTCAGAAAATGAAGAATATTTGTTTCACAAGCAACTTGAATCTCTGCTTCTTAATTATGCAGCCTGAAGTTCCTTGGCTCCTGTATTACCTTTAAAATTAACAGGCTCTGAAAAGTTGCAACAGGAAGAATCAATCCAAAGGTCACCAAACTTCTGATTTTAAATATAAGTGTTGTGACTGCAATTTAAATTACCAAGTTTAGCCGATACACTCAAGTTTGGATTGAGTGCTTAAGAAAAGAAGTGTGAGAATGGTGTTCTTATTTCTTCTCATTACACAGGGAAAACTCATTAGTGTCACAAAACAAAAGAGCAGACAGTACTTCATTGGACTTGAAACCACTTTCAGGGCTGACAACCACCTCAATTCCACAGTGACTTTTAATAAAACCTAAGTGTTGGCAACTGGTGAAAGCAATGAATGGGTCTTGCTTCCTTCTTGCCTCTACCACACACCTCATTTCTAATGCCATCCCAGTGAGGCTGAAATGTGCATGCCAGTGAGAAGCAACCCAAATCAATAAACTGGCTATCTGACCAGAGAAGAAACACGGCTGAAAATACATGTTTTGAGTTACTTTTCAGTCAGATCACTTCTCTTCACTGTAGTTATATGAGCACTACAAAGAAGGAGAGTGTAACTGTGGGCGGCAACAGCCTGCTTTTATCACAAATAAACACATTAAATACAATAAGACCTTTTGATATA